ACATAGGGAACACAGCATTGAAAATGAGTCACGGAAAGAAAACAAAGCTGAATTAATCATGGCCACTGTGTCATGTTCATCTCATCAGTGGGAAAATGTGATGAGATGAAAGTACCCTGTGATTTGTGAAGCCCTTCCCTAATAGAAACCCTTACCTGTGGGCATTCACCATCAGGTCAGTAAATGCTTCTTATTATGACGTGGATTTAGGGAATAAATTCAACCTGATGGTTCTGAAAGAGTAAGCACACTTATTTACCTTATATTACATTTCAGCCTATCCTGTGTTGGAAGAAACGTAAGTTAGGCAGCATTTATCTAAACTCTATGTCTTATATTTTGAACAATTTCTTAGAGGTAATTTCTAAACGAGTGAGACATCTTCCTGGAATAGGTAGGCCACAGAATAGCAGGCACTAATAATATGTGTGTTCATGTTCCTTTTAACCTACACTGATTGGCATTTGTTGCTTGGTTAAAAACTCCCAGAGAACTGGTAGGAGTGTAAAACGAGAACAGGTTGGTCTTGCATGAATACAGTGAATCACTGCAGGGCCACACAACACCTCCCCCCTGCCCTGGCACAGCCAGTCCTTCCACTCGGGTCTTTTCACTCTGCATTTGGTCCCGGGTGCAAGGGGAAACAGGATAGAGGGGGAAAAAAGCTGAAAATCTCATGTGCTTAACTTTTTTCTTCTATCAGAAGGGAACAAAGAAGTACAAGAGGGCAAAGGGCTTATGAGCAGGAAAGAGAATAGTGGAAAAACTAAAGAATGTTCAAGGATGTGGGGAGAAAGGAGCCACTGGGAGTGTGGCTGAAAACCAGGGAGATGGTGGTGAGGTGGTTTATGGGCAGGGATGCTCAGGGGGCCTCATACAGATTCTGGCAGAAATGGGAGGGAATGGGAACGAGATTCAGTACATTTCAACAAATATTTACTGAGCACACAATTTAACAAAGTATTCTGGGCACAACAGGGGACGCGAAGATGGGCTTCCCTCTAGAAAGTTAGAACCTAGTAGGGTAGCGGTCATTGTGAACAGCAGCTAAATGACCTCCATGCCATAATGTAAGTCAAGCAAAGTATGCTTGTCCAAGAAGCATGTCTGCATTAGGGACAATATGCTGGGTACTGGGAAAGAATAAAGGTATATTATTTTAAATATTATATTTAAATATTAAAACAAAATTCAAGATTAACAGAGCAGAGACGTTATGTCTGCATACAGAGATGTCTATAAACCCAGATGATGTAAGAAGATCAAAGTGAGGGCTGTCCACACTAATTACTCAGTATTCCTACCACAGTGGTTATAAAAGCAGCTGGTAACAGTAGGCATTTATAGCTTAGAGATGGGGGAGTCAGCCTGTCTGGGTTCGAATCCTGCCTGGTTCTTCCCCTTGCTAGCTGTTAGACCTTGAGCAAGTTACATAACTTCTCTGTGCTTCAGTTTCCCCATCTGTAAAATGAAGATGATAGAAAGATCTACTTCATAGGATTACTGTGAGAACTGAGTTAATTCAGGTAAAGGTGCATAGAACAATGCCCATCACATGCTGAGTGTCAGTAAATGTTGGCTCATGTCACTTCCCCCTAGTCACCACCCATACACTCAAGGAGTGGTAGGAGTTGAAGGGAGGGGTCACACTCAAACGAAATACAGCTTTGAGTATTGGGCTAACAGTGTAGAACACTGACCAGTTTGGATTTAATATCTACTTCTAAGAAATGTGCCCAGAACCTTGGGTGAAAGTGTCCAGCTCCTCCACCCAAATTTCTGCACCTCTGTTTCAGGGCCTCTTGCTGTACTGGCTCCTTGCCAGTTGTTTACTGTCAGTAATTCTTCTATTTGGTGTTGTATTTACCTCACATTTCGCAAGGGAATACTGGTTTGCCTCAACATTTCAAGAAAAAGTGGTAAGACTGCAAATTATCTGAAGACGTATATAAACTTAAAATTATTACTGTTTTAAAATATACTAGAACCTAAAACAAGGTGAGAATTTCAATAATCTCATATAAATCTAATTGCTCTTGGTTTTGGCATAGCTTTAGAACTCTAAAAATGAATAGTTGACATTTTAAGAACCTAGTTAGAGAATTTCAATTTACAGCAGGCACCCATGGACACACACAAAGACACTACACTCCCAAACAACAACCCTCTTGGGCAGTTGCCATGACAACACAAGGCGGAACCTATCGGGCTCTCCGTTATCCTGTTGAAGGTACTGTGCAAAAAGACACTCATGTTAGATTCTTTACTAATTAAGTGGAAAAGGTCGAAAAACAAAACAAAACTCTAGATCTACAAGGTTTTCATATGGGCTATGACTCAGAAAAACAAATACTAAATATTTTCAGAAAAGCATTTAAAAGTAATAACTGCAAGACCAACTGAGATACAATATTGAAGAAAAAACACAAAATACTTTTATTTTGAAAGCTATATTCATTTCATCTTTTTCTCCCAAGTTGTGCCATATCATTAATGGAATAATCAATTTGTATAATAAATTTCATTAACAGAGTCTATTCTTTTACTAACACATTTAAACACTTTCTTTTTTGGGCCACATCTACATCAATTCATTTGGGAGCCCAAACTTCCTTAAGCTAATTAGACTTAAGAAAGAAAAACAGTCTCTAAATTAATAGGGGTTTATATATTTTTTTTCTTTTTTAAAAGAGGGGAAAAAAAAAGAAAAAAAAAATAGTGACAGGGGAGAGAAGGAAGGGATAAGTAGCCCTTGATAAGGATGTGATAAACACTGTGTCATTCCCTCCCCTTCTCTGATTAGCTATCTCTGCCTCCTCTGGAGTTTTCTCTCTGTCTCAGCTGTTAGATCCCCTCAAGACTCGATAGAAGACCTTTTCTCACTCTATTCTCTTTTTTTGTCAGCTTATTTATTTTATTTTTGCATACATTACTTTTTTTTTTATTTTTTTAATGTTTTATTTTTGAGACAGGGAGAGACAGAGCATGAACAGGGGGAGGGTCAGAGAGAGGGAGACACAGAATCCGAAACAGGCTCCAGGCTCTGAGCTGTCAGCACAGAGCCCGACGCGGGGCTTGAACTCACGGACCGTGAGATCATGACCTGAGCCGAAGTCGGCTGCTCAACTGACTGAGCCACCCAGGCGCCCCCATACATTACTTTTTTTATATTAAATATAATTTATTGTCAAGTTGGTTTCCATACAACACCCAGTGCTCATCCCAACAGGTGCCTTCCTCAATGCCCATCACCCACTTTCCCCTCTCCCCCACCCCCCATCAACCCTCAGTTTTTTCTCAGTATTTAAGAGTTTCTTATGGTGGATAAAGAAGATGTGGTTTATATACACAATGGAATACTACTTGGCAATGAGAAAGAATGAAATCTGGCCGTTTGCAGCAATGTGGCTGGTACTGGAGGGTATTATGCTAAGTGAAATAAATCAGGCAGAGAAAGACAGATACCGTATGTTTTCACTCATATGTAGATCCTGAGAAACTTAACAGAAGACCATGGGGAAGGGAAGGGGAGAAAAAAGTTACAGAGAGGGAGGGAGACAAACCATAAGAGACTCTATTCTCTTTTCCTAGGTGGCCTCATCCATAGCCACTGGCTTTAATTATCACCCATATGCATGTACATCCCCAGAAGGAAATGACCATCACCATTTACATCCCCAGAAGTCCCAGATCAGTTGACCCAGCTGCCTCCTAAACATGGCCACTCTGATGCTACTTTAAATGCAAACTGGATTCTCCTGTAGCACTCCTTAGCTAGTAAATGAAAGCTTTGAATGATTCTAACATAGGTGTAGTCAATACCTAGCTGCTAAATGAATAAATGTATCAAGCAAGCAAGCAAGCAAGCAAACCTGTTATACAAACCAAAAAATCTAAGGGCCATTCTGGATAAGGCCATCTTTCTCTCCCTCCATGACAAGTTAGTATCCATGTCTCATTTCACCTCCTAAACATTCCCCAAACCTATTCCATTTCCTAAGTCTTCCCAGCCACCAGTCTTTGCCCGAAATTATTACAACAGCCTCTTAACTATCAATCAAGAACGTGCAGATGTAGTACACAGAGAAGTTAGGCAATCAGTATGTATCAAATAATTTATTAAACAAACTGATAAAGTTGCTCTAGGAAAAGGGAACAGAACATTTGCCAAATGTCAACTATATGTCAGACACTAATCTAGATACCTCACGTATACTACGTCATTTAATATCCACAGTGACTCATTTTCTAGAAGAAACTCAATTGAGCAGATGGTTTTAGGAGCCTCTCCCGGTCATAACCTTTGCTTTGTTTGGTCCCAACAAGCAGACGATAATGATGAACATGAAGATGGTCACAACTTACTGAGAACTTTTTACCAGATATTGTTCTCGGTACGTTGAATGCATTATTGTGTTTAAGCCTACCACTCTCCTACAGAGTATTACCATCCCATTTTGCAGATGAGGAAACTGAGCCACACAAACTTAATCAAGGTGAAAAAAAACAAAAACAAAAACAAAAACAAAAACAAAAACAAAAACAAAAACAAAAACAAGAAGAAGTAACAGAGCTGTGATCCAGGATGTGAACCTGATTCTGTTTAAGAATTTACTAAACACCTGTTTAACTTACAGCAAAGTTATTAGAACCAGTGGGGATATTGAGCAGAAATGACAAACCCATCACTGCTCCTGAGGAGCCTGTCTTCAGGGGCAGCGCTATTTTGTCATCCCACCTCTACCCACTGGAGAGCAGAGTTTATGGAGGGAAGCTTCCACCAACTCCAATCCCACCTCCAAAGGGTACATTTCAAGTCAAAGCTGTCAGTCTCTTCCCCATGCCCACAGCTACCCAGTTTTCCCTGGGTAACATGCCAGGAGGAGATGCTTTAGTGCTTATAGTGGTAAGACTGAATAGTTTCTTAAAAAAGTCTTTTAAAAAAGTACTATGAATGGCATGAATACAAAGATTCTTTAAAGGTCTAATCTAGTACTTACAGTTTTATAACTCCATCTGGGCACCTGGAACAGAGTTGCTGGCTGCTCTTGTCTTGTTTATGTTGACTCTGACCCAGCTGAACAAATCTACAAATTACAATGGATAAAAAGTAAGCTAAAGAAGGAACTATTTGCAATAAATTCAGTAGATTACACAAAATGGTATGAGCTTTCAAATGACACTAGCATGCTTATTTCAGAAAAGCACACACGAGTGCCCTATGTAGCATAAGACTGTAATTACAAACGGGTACCTGATTTTACAGTGGGTTTGTTACAAATGAAGGAAGAAGAATTCTGTGTCCCAATTTACTTAAATGTGTTCTTGAAGCCAGGAAGATGATCTTTCAGGGCCTCACTTACCTAAGGGTGACTGCAGCAGGAAGCTGGGAACACAAGGGGAGGTATTTGCAGTGAGACAAATGACAAGGGAAGAGCAGGATCAGGCCAGGGATCCATCTCCCAAAGCAGGGACACTGTTGAAAACCTAGCATGTGGATTCTGTTTCCACAGGACCACAAGAATCCCCAAGTGTACTCCAGCCCCTCTTAAGATACTTTGAACTGTGAAGGAGGGGACTGAGGAGACCACCTGCTGAGCCTCACTGCCACACCACCCCTCCTTAGAGGAGACTGGAACAGCACTAATCCAGGCTTGAAGCTAAGAGTCACAGGGAAGTGCCCCCAGCCAGCTCCATAGGATAGGAGGCTACCTAGCAATGGGCCAATGGGCTGATGGGTCAAGGACCACCTACTATTTCTCAGGTGCACACCTGTCCTAGTGTGGTCTGTGCTACATGCCTTCATGTTCCCCTCAGGGACATGGCTTGTAGTTTTGTTCTAATGTGCCCCTGGGAGGTTAGGGCGCATGATGAAAGGGCTTCCCACTTTTCTACTGTTTTTTATTTATTTATTTATTTATTAAAAAAAAATTTTTTTTTCAACGTTTATTTATTTTTTGGGACAGAGAGAGACAGAGCATGAACGGGGGAGGGGCAGAGAGAGAGGGAGACACAGAATCGGAAACAGGCTCCAGGCTCTGAGCCATCAGCCCAGAGCCCGACGCGGGGCTCGAACTCACGGACCGCGAGATCATGACCTGGCTGAAGTCGGACGCTTAACCGACTGCGCCACCCAGGCGCCCCTACTGTTTAAAACATTTTCTTTTAGGGCCCCTGGATGGCACAATGGGTTGAGTGTCTGACTCTTTATGTCGGCTCAGGTCACGATTTCAGGATCGTGGGATCAAGCCCTGAATCGGGCTCCACACTGAGCATAGAGCCTGCTTGAGATTCTCTCTCTCTCCCTCTGCCCCTCTTCCCTGCTTGCACTCTCTCAAAAAAAATATATATCATATAAATTTTTTTCTGATTATTGATACTTTTACAATTAAATTTTTATTAGCTTTTTTTGAAGGTCAAGAAAAGTACTGCAGAACTAACAATTACTAACTAAATCATTACATGCTACTGGAAAACTTTTAAATAACTTACTTTTATCTTCAGCAAGTAAAGATTTTTGATTCATTTTGGGGGAAGAATGTCACATGATACCTGTTATTTGTACAGAACTTTAACCTTACCTAATCATGTACACAATCACTGTCAGAATTTGTTTTTAAAAAGATTTGGCTCCCTCAAAACATAAGAGACTCTTAAAAACTGAGAAAAACTGAGGGTTGATGGGGGGGGGTGGGAGGGAGGGGAAAGTGGGTGATGGGCATTGAGGAGGGCACCTGTTGGGATGAGCACTGGGTATCGTATGGAAACCAGTTTGACAATACATTTCATATTAAAAAACAAACAAACAAAAAACAACACAAAACAAAAACAAAAACAAACAAACAAAAGATTTGGCAGGGGCCTGAGGCTTGGGGAGGCAAGCAGAAAACTTCCAGGCCTGGTTAAGATAACACACCAAAGATATCAGAAAAGCTGAGGGCAAAGGAAGGCATAGAGAACAGGGCTAAGCAATTAGAACAAAACTATAAAACCAAGAAATCTTCAGGAGTTTGAAGGTGGTTGAGACCAAACGTAGGAAAAACAGGCGGGAGAGCAGGAAGCTAGAAGACAGGCTGTTGGCTCCAGTTCCAGCTGCCTCCCTCCCTTCCCCACACTGTTCTGTGGTTGCCCAGATGGGAGCTGTGACAGGCAGGCCAGGCCAGAGCACTGTCTTTACATGCACAGTCTCTGGTGGATACTAGCCCACTGGTTGCAGAACTGCAGTGGGGGAAGGCAGAACTTTTTTAGGCCAATTTAGGCCAGAACTACATGGGCTCTCGCGCTGCCCTTGAAGCTCTGCCATCTGGATCAGAGGAGGCACTAAGAGACCCCAGAGCCCCTGACAGAAAGAATGAAATCTTGCCATTTGCAACATCGTGGATGGAAATAGAGTGTATTATGTTTAGCGAAATAAGTCCGTCAGAGGAAGATAAGTATCGTATGATTTCACTCACATGTGGAATTTAAGAAACAAAGCAGATGAACATAGGGGAAGGGAAGGAAAAATAAGATAAAACAGAGAGGGAGGCAAGCCATAAGAGACTCTTAAATACAGAGAACAAACTTATGGTTGCTGGAGGGGAGGGGAGTGGAGGGATGGGCTAAATGGGCAATGGGCATTAAGGAGGGCACTTGCTGGGATGAGCACTGGGTATTAGATGTAAGTGATGAATCACTATATTCTATTCCTGAAACCAATAATAATAATAATAATAATAATAATAATAATAATAATAACAACAACAACAATAGAGACACCCAGAGCCTGGCTGGGGCAAAAAGTTCCTGAACATCCTTGGCCACCCCCCAGATACTGATGGAGGGAGGCTTCCTCTACCATAGCAATGCCCACAACAGAGATGGAAGATGCCCATGCCCCCAGTAGGGGCAGTCTGCCCACGGTCAAGGGTTACTCACACAGAGGGGAAGAGATGACCAGACCTCTGTTTCTCCCCTTCCCCCTAGGTCTACATCATAAGCAGGGGCAGCTGATATTATCAAGAAAATAAAGAGGGCTACACAGTCTAAAATCACAGATACCCACAAAGCACAGGGAAGGTCTCCTGAATAAGTCATTGAGTGGCACTTTCCATGCTGTTAGCCTCTAAAGAGGGATAATAATATCTTCTCAGCCTACTACAGAGTTGTCTAAAGAACAATAAAACACTGCAAAGTGTTACACAAATCAAAGGAGGAGATGTTGTTCTTCAGGATATCAAACACAGAATCTTATTCCAGGACATGGATTCCTTCCTCTCCTGCAGTAATCCCTTCCCTATGGGCCTACCCTTGTACCCTTCCTAGACTGTTTCCCAGGAATACTATGGCTGAACAGGGCTGTATCTCACTCCCAGAGAAAGGAGGACGAGAAGTGGGCTTCAGAGGCAGTCTGCGCTACAAAGGCTCTAAGCAAAAGTCACAGCTGAAGCACGAGACATTTTCTTTTTTGCTTAATTAACGTGAGCCATAAGTTCAGTCCCTGACACTCATACTGTCTGCAGTAAGCGAAGTCATATTATGCAGTCACGAACCCCAGATAATTCATTCTTCCAGACCATGTTGCTTATAAAGGCTCACTTCATATGCTGGAGTTCATCTATGTTGTAGGGACAGCTGTGATGGATAAGGGACTGTGCACCTGTGTGTCCAGGGCTGAGAAGAGTGTGGCTGAATTCTGAATGGCTAAGTTGGCTTCTGTCAAGATAGTAATGCAGCGTCGTACCAGTGCTTTTGTAGTTAAGAAATGCTGTGCATTCTTATGTTTTACATATTATGTAGCTGATCTTACTGGTTTATATTTTATATTTTACATATTATATAGCCAATCTTACTAGTTTGAAGTAAAAAGCTGTCAGTTTCCAGTTTGATGGATTCAGCAAATGAAATACTCTCCTTAAAAAAGAATGGAAAGCTGGGGTGCCTGTGTAGCTTAGTCGGTTTAAGCGTCTGACTCTTGATTTCAATTCAGGTCATGATCTCAGGGTTTGTGATGACTCTTTCAGCTTAGTCTGCCTAAAAAAGGTCTAGAACATTCTGACTTGACACCCTTATATCACCACTTCCTTCTTCCTCCTCAGCCACCACTCCCACCAGCACTCTAGAGCTAACGCAAATGCAAGATCCACAATCGTCAATATCCTAGGTTCATTTTCTAAGAAGGTACCTCATCTTGGGACTTTGCTAATGCAAGAATAGAGAAATGTATGTGCACTTCAGTTTGCAGCTTATATATGGGCAGTGAAAATGCATGGACACATCGTAAATTTTTATCATTTAGGGCACTGAGAGTCTCAGGCAGTAGTAGGTCCTTTAACTCCAAATAGAAACCAGTGTTTCAGAATTTGACCTCCTAAACACTACATTGCAAGTGGAATTCATTTCCTTCTGTATTACCAATTTCACTTTTTTTTTTAATGTTTATTTATTTGTTTTTGAGAGAGAGAGAGACAGAGAGACAGAGTGTAAGTCAGGGAGGGGAAGAGAGAGAGGGAGGCACAGAATCTGAAGCAGGCTCCAGGCTCTGAGCCATCAGCACACAGCCTGATGCGGAACTCGAACTCATGAACTGCGAGATAGTGACCTGAGCTGAAGTCAGACGCTCAACCGACTGAGCTACCCACCAATTTCATTTATTAGAAGTTAGACCAGATATAAGTTATTGTAATAATACATTTGCATATTTTCTTAATTTCTACATGAAAGTAGTTTACCTTGAATAAATGGAGAGATCTTCTTCTGAGAGACCATCTGAGAGGTTAATTCCATATACTTCTTTCATGGGCTGGACCACATTCTGGGGTTAAAAACGACAAGGAACAAGGCAGAATTTTTAGACATCTAGCATAATAATTATTTCCAAAGGTAAAGAAAATGAACCTGTGAGATTTTCCACAAAAGTAATCACAGTATTTCTTCAATCTATTCATTAAACTTCTCAGTTAATGGTTTTTTAAAAATCTGATTTCAGTTCACTAAAAATAACTTTGTTTTAGGGTCAAAAGCTATTAAATAATTACTAGTTTCTTTGGTATAATGCAGAAATTAGAAAACTTTTTCTGCAAAGAGCCAGATGGTAAATATTTTAGGTTCTTTGGGTCATGGCACTCTGCTGCAACTACCCAATTCTGCTGCACAGTACAAAGGCCGCCAGACACAACATGCAAACAAACACACGTGGCTGGGTTCCAATCAAACTTTATTCACAAAAACAGGCAATACACTGGATTTTGACAGTTGGCTGTAGTTTGCCAACTCCTGGAATAATGAATTCAGTTCTTATCACACTTTATTTGCCGTATCTATCTCTACGACTTTTGGCTATTTTTGGAAATTGCATGTCCCTAAAGCTAGATTTGGTTCTTTTGTAGTTTACTTTCCCTTATGTTCCCTTGTATTGGTAACGTCAAATTGAGCAGGTGAATTTCCCACTAGGGCTAGGCAAAGATTGTGAGGCTCAGGTCCAAACTCTACATTCCAGCAATGTGCTGAGTGAGGAAATGAATGGACCTCAAGTGGATGTGCTGCTCAAAATGAGACCAGATTCTCTTAAAAAATTCCGAAGTGATAAGAAATTTGCTGTTATACATGGGAGCAAAAATACCGATTTCACAATGAAACCATTTCAATAACATCTATGCTAAATGTATTCATCCCTTAATTACCAAAATGTGAGACCTGAACGCATAAAACTCCTAAAAGAAAACACAGGCAGTAATCTCTTAGGCATCAGCCTTAGCAACATATTTATGGATAGGTCCCCTCACACAAGAGAAACAAAAGCAGAAATAGACTATTGGGACTCCACCAAAATAAAAACCTTTTGCACAGCAAAGGAAACCATCAACAAAATGAAAAGGCAACTTGCTGAATAAGAGAAGATATATCCAACAACAGGTTAATATCCAAAATATGTAAAGAACATCTACAACACCCAAAAAACAAACGAGTCAATTAAAAGATGAGCAAAGGACCTTAATAGACATTCTTCTAAAGAAGACATCCAGATGGCCAACAGACACATGAAAAGATGCTCAACGTCACTCATCACTCAGCATCAGGGAAATGCATACCTAAACCATAATATCACCTCACACCAGTCAGAATGGCTAGTAACAAAAAGACAAGAAATAACAAGTGTTGGTGACGATGTGGAGAAAGGGAACCATCATACCCTGCTGGTGGGAATGTAAATTGTACAGTATGGAGTTCCTCAAAAAATCAAAAATAGAAATGCCATATGATACAGTAATTCCACTACTGAATATTTACCTAATAAAAACCCCAAAACAATTCAAATTCAAAAGATATATATATGCACTCCTATGTTTACTGCAGTATTATTTACAATAGCCAAGACAGGAAGCAACCTAAGTGTCCATCAATAGATATATGGATATGAAAGATGTAGTATGTATATGTATGTATGTATACACACACACACACACACACACACACACACACTGGAATATCAGAATGAGATTTCTGGCATTTTCAACAACATGGATGGATTTCAAGGGTATTATACAAAGTGAAATATGTCAGACAGAGAAAGAGAAATAACATATGATTTCACTTATATGTGGAATCTAACAAGTAAACAGAAAGAGACTCATAAATACAGAATACAAACTGGTGCTTGCCAGAGGAGAAGGTGTAGGGACATGAGAGAAATAGGTAAAGGAGATTAAGGGATACAAACTTCCAGTTATAAAACAAATAACTCACAGAGATGAAAAGTACAGCACAGGGAATACAGTCAATAATATTGTCGTATGGTTACAGATGGTGACTGCACTTACCATGGTGAACACTGCATAATGTACAGAATTGTGAAATCATTATATTGTATACCTAAAGTTAATAAACATTGTATGTCAACTATACCTCAATAATAACAAAAAAAAAATATCCATCTCTGGAAGTGCCTCAAACACCACATATTAGAATGGTGTGCATGTGGCCTTTTCTGACTCTAAATCTTTTAACAGAAAGTAGAATTTTAGAGATCATTCTCTAGAGCCTAATGCTGGACCACACAAGCTCATCTCTTGCACACCTCAGTCACTTTGGTACTGTCTCCCGTGTCGGTCATCTTCACTGGAGTGGAGCGCTGAGACACAGAGCCCTCTTCTTCCCGGTCGGTCCCAGAGTCATCCTCAGAGCTGCTGGACACAGCCTCCTCGCTGGGGGGTGGCGGGGCACTGGCTGCTGTTTTCCGCTGTAACACAGCTTCTTCTCTATTGCTTTTGTTCCTTTAAAAAGATGAATATTGACATAAAGCATCTTTAAATCGATCCTTTGACACTCACTATGCATGACTGTCCAAAATCCTAGTGCTAGAGAAGCACAAGAAAATGGCTGTGAAAAACCAGTTTTTGGATTCAAGTTGTGATTAAGAGAAAACCTTAGCATTTTACCACGTACATGTACTGACCTTCTATGAAGTTAAGCCCTGTTATAAATTCAGAAAATAAACCAGTAAGTGGGTGTAAACCAGTGCAGAAAAGTCTTCTCACCACTTGGTTACTGTGCCTTCCTTTGGTAACTGAAACCAACACTTTCAAAATTTGTCATACAATAATAGAAAACCATAAGTTTGGGATATTAGTAATGTTATCTGTAACCTGTAAAAGCTTCAAGAAAAGGTCAATAGCCAAATCCATGTAAATTTCCTTCCCTTATATGATTTTTATCAATCATAGCACCAGCCGATGATATGTACCATAGTAATGAGCAACTGATGAACACAAACTAAATTTTAGTATTTGTATTGTTAGTAAATAACTATATTTGCTAGACATTCCTTCTAATAGTAGGGAGTAGATGGAAAAAAAAACCCAAAAAACTCAGAATTATGAAAGTATTTACTTTCAGTTCCAAACATGAGAGTGGTAAGAATACTATTTTTTTTAACTCAGATAATATTTTATTGTAATATTTTGGGCTTTAATGAAAAATACTTAATATTTCACTCGTCAAAAAATACTCTACAAAAGACTTAAAATATTGTAATATTTGGAAATGTTTTAGGAAAAGAAAAGGAAATACTATCTGACCACGGGTTACATGTTATAGAAAATAAACTAGTTTCTGACTTTCTGCCAAGTAAAAATTAAAAGTCAATGGTATTTCTGTGCTATGCAGTAATGTAGCTGGTCATTTATGTATTTGTTCCAGGAACTTCTTGAACCCTGACTCCTGAGGACATTTCTTTTAAATTCCTTAGTTTCTGGTCTAAGGCTTAGCATACAGCAATTTAAGACCACATATTTAAGCCACAGAAATGGTGTATCAGGAAGTAGTAATATATATCCCACTGCATAAACCACACGTAGCTAAAATCCAACCAGGATCCCATTCACACTCCCAAATACAATTAGGACTCAGTATCTACAGTCTGGCCAGGGTTTCTGGTCAGAGTCTAGAAAAAATCTTATGACTGGGGTTATTCAGGTCAGTGGCAGCAGTAACAGATTCTTATGCTAGAACACATCACATTTCACTCCAGTTTCTAAGCATGAAGATGTAAATAAATAGTCTTCCCCAGAACAGTAATGGTACAGTAATACACAGAATATGTATTAATTTCTCTACCTGAACATATTTGCTTTAATGGTTCCTTGGGATGCCAACAAAAATACAAGAAAACGAATAGAAATTTTTTACCTAAGTATTTTATGTCGTGGGAAACAGAGGACACTGAGTTATTTATAGGACATAACACATAATATCTGTTACCTGTGCCTATGCCACCTGTGATATTCCTAATTTAAAATAATAAAATGCACCATGTTGCTGAAACTCCTACAAATTCTTTCAATGTTGAATTCTTTAGTAATCCCAGTGCTATGAATAAACTACCTGTAGAGATGCAATAAATGGAATGTGCTCCAAACGATGTGACTTGAAGTTATTCTTTTTGGTGTAAATTATACTGCAAGTGCCATATTATTTTACATAAATCTTTAAAATTTCATTCTATATGCCAATCTTACCCCAATACTGATTTTCCTGTTTCATCTGGTTTACGCACTGTAAACGGACTTGGATCGATGCCAACGGTCTTAGGCATAAAGTCACTGGAGAGAGGGGAAAGAAATTCCATATGAATCACTGTCCATCCTGGTTTCCATTCAATTCACATTCTTACACTATTCCTTCTTAGCCCTCAGAGCTACATATATTCTGAGCCAAATGTTCAGGGGAGCTCAGGTGATCAAAAGGCCATAAAATCCCATGAATTAATGGCACCAGGTAACTTCAATGTTATCAGTCTTCACTGTGAATTTTCTTCATGATTATGGGACCCAATGGTTTTGAATTTAAGATTTTTCTCTACTGGAACAGAGTTGATATCTAAATTACTGCTAAGGTGTATACACTTTGTTTATGCATCACAATTACTTTTGAGGTAAAATTAAACTCATAAAAACCCATGGCAAAACACTAAGCCGCTCAGTTTTATGGACAATGTTTTTATTACACTATCCCACCTAGGGATGCCGACATAATGTTCAAAACCACAGCAGTATCCATTCAAGTATGAGCATCTACCTCATTAGGCTGGGGTTAATTCATTAAAACACTATTGGAACACTTGAAATAGAAACTTTTTGTTCACCACATCCTAAGATAAGCTGAAGCTACTCTGGCACTGTGCAAGGCCTACCTCACCATTACTGATGAAACCAGACCAAACTCCTCAGAGAAGCCAAAAAGGCAAGAGGTGCATGATTCATGCTGATGAGACTTAGGGCTCCAGCAAGGATTCTGCTCCAAGTGCAGCCATTACATTTTTGGAAGGAAAACAAAATAATATTGAATTTGACCCAAAATGCCTATTTGACAGTTTGTAAATATTGTTTTAAATATATAAGTGGTTTAGGGGCACCTGGGTGGCTCAGTCAGTTAAGCATCTGACTCTGGATTTCGGCTCAGGTCATGATCTCATGCTTCATGAGATTGAGCTCCGCGTCAGGCTCTGCACTTATAGAATGGAGCCTGCTTGCGATTCTCTCTCTCTCTCTCTCTCTCTCTCTCTCTCTCTCTCTCTGTCTCCCTCTCTTTCTCCCTCCCTGGCTCATGTGTGCGCAGGTACAGACACACACACTCTCTCTCTCAAAATAAATCAATAAACATTTGAAAAAAAATGTAAGTGGTTTAGGGCCACCTGGGTGGCTCAGTCAGTTAAGTGTCCAACTCTTGATCTCGGCTCCAATCACGATCTCACAGTTGTGAGACTGAGTCCCACGCCGGGCTCTGCACTGACAGTGTGGAGCCAGCTTGGGATTCTCTCTCTCCCTCTCTCTCTGCCCCCTCTCCCCCGAGCACTCTCTCTCTCTCTCTCTCTCTCTCTCTCTCAATAAATAAACATTTTTTAAAAATTGTAAGTGGTTTAATTTTTCTTTATTTTTGAACATATATAGTTGGTCCTCATTATTTGTGGACTCCTTATTTGAGAATTTGCTTGCTCACTAAAGTTTATTCATAACCCCAAAACCAATACTCAGAGCTTTTGTGATCACTTGTGGACATGTGCATGCCCAGAACAGTGGAAAATTAGAGTAACCCAATGCTCACGTTCCCAGCTGATGGAGAACAAGGCGTCACTCTGCCTTGTTTATAGCTGTCATGCTATAAACAAGTGTCCTTTTTACAGTCTATGTACTGCCATGTTTTGCACTTTTTGTGCTGTTTGGTGGTGACCTTGTTGTCTCAAATGACCCCAAGCATAGTGCTGAAGCTCTCTAGTGTTTCTAAGCACAAGAAAGCTGTGTGTTGGAAAGAAAATACGTGTGTTGGAGAAGCTTTGTTCAGGTAGGAGTTATAGTGCTCTTTGCTGTGAGTTCAATGTTAATGAATCAACAATATATCTTAAGTAAGGCATCTTTAAACAGAAACATACAACATGGTTATGTATTGACTGGTTAATGAAAATGTTGTGACCAGAGGCTTGCCAGGAACCTAAACCTGAATTGCAATGGTTCAGTATTCTCTAATTCAGTTATTACAGGAACTTTATAGAACATAACTCATGCAAGTAAATAATCAACTATACAATATATACACATATGCATAACATCATTCATCCTTTGCTGAGTTGAAATATTCTGGAAATGACAATGACCTCACAGTTAAAACTTCTAAACTTTTAATAAGTTTCACTCAAAATCAACCAAGTAAATATTCTCAACTTTCCATCTGAAACTAAAGCAAAATATGGAGTGGTTTCTAGGAAACAAAACCATAGGATATGTTTCTACATGTACATTAAGTCTAGACATACATATATCACATTGGAAGAAAATGTAAAATACACAAATGTAAACTTTATTATAAAAAATGATAATCAAGAAGTTATTTGCTTTGCCTAATTTTCTTACTCTAGTCCCATCACTTTTCTAAAGATCCCACAAAACTCTAACAGAGACACAGAAAAATGAAGTATATTCAAAAGTGACATACCAAGATGAAGAGTCTGAAAACAATGTCATGTGAATTATGAAAAGAATGAAGGATATTTACCCTAAAAAAATTAATACTGCTTCTTCAAATATCTGGAGGGCTGTCATACAGAAGAGGAACTAGACTTGTCCTATTCCTAATAAGAATAATAAAATAATGATAGCCACCATTTATTAGTCACCCACCTAGGTTGGTCACTCCATTAAGGCATTTGGCATGTATGTGTATATATGTGTGTGATACACATGCCCCTATCTACATAAAAGAAGAAGCTGAGACTCAGATAAGTTGGATAATTTTCTCAAGGTCACACAGGTAGGCAGTGGCTGATCTACAATTCACACCCTTGCTTTTCTAGTACCAAAGACTATGCTTTATTCTACTAATTTATGCTGGCTCTCAGTTTCTGTTCAATTTTAAAAAGTGAGTTTACTCCAAATGACAAACTAGGACCAATGGGAGGCAGATTTCAACCTACTAAAGGGAAGAAATTAACTCCAGTTATCTAACACTAGAAGGGACTATCTCCTAAAGTAGTGGGCTACTCATCACAGGGGGTATTCAGAGGCTGTACAATCCCTGCTAGCAGCCTTGCAGAATGGACTTATGGCAAAGCAAGGCTTATCTATATAAACTAGGAAAACTAAAGTTCCCAAATCTTTACAGTATCAGAGCACTCACAACATACCGTGCTGAACTTGTCATAGCCAAGCAAAAGGTATCATCAAAACTACTCAGTTCGTATGGTCGAAAGAACTCGTTGTGGATGTCAATCTCTTCTTCGTATTTGTGGAATTTCTTCACTATCAACTTCTTTAAGTTCGCGGCACAGATAACTAAGAGAGATATGCCCGTTACTCTTAAAGTCTTTAGATTACATCTAGCCAACGAGGTTCAGCTCCGGCCTCTAGCACTCAGACACTTGACAAAGAGATGAGCTATGTGCACAGAATATACAGTGCAGAGCCGAGTGTGATAAGCTCCAAGGGGGCAGGAAGGCCTCTGGAAGGGTGGGAGCAGGGAGTTATTTCAGAAATCAAACAACTCAGCTCTTTGAATTCTGTTTTGCTTTGAAATAAATATCCTCTGCCTTCTAGATATAAATTGTGCAGCTATTTCACTAAATTTTCCTTCATATTTATATTTCAAATCTTGTTTAAGGCCAAGGTTAGACTGCTATAGTTCTTTCCTTTCTTCTGGAACAACAAATCTTAGCAATAGGAATTATGATTTTTCCCAGAATTTCAAGGTTACAAATACTTTTAAAAAATTAATTAATAATTTATTAAAAGCTAAAAATCATTTGCAATCTTCTTAGTTCATGGCCTTTACTATCAAAGTTGGAATGCCTAACCATGACTAGATGGAATCCTCAACTGGAATGTTCCAGACTGGCAGTCAGTCTTACCTACTGCCTTCTCACAACTGAGAAATCTGGCTTGTTCAAGGTCAGAGGAATCAGTAACAGAATGAGGGCTACACTCTATTTAAAACTGGGAAATTATTTCAATTTGGAAACATCATTTGAATGTATTGTACATTTGAGGTTATTCATTTAATAAAAAAAATTTCTTGCCTTTCTGACAAATATACGAAATGAAATTTAAACTTTAGTGACTAAAATGTAATTTTATATACATATCTGTATATTTTTTCACTGTTTAGACACAGGAAAAGTTTTTATTTTTCCTTATGAATGGGTCTTAACTTCCTTCCCATTACCCCCAAATATTTAGAAACATAATAAGTACTAGTTTAAAATGGTAAACTAATATATTATATCCATTAAACATTTAAGGAACATACTTAACAACTGTAAAACACAATAAAAGAAATATAACACAATCCCTGGAAGTCATCTAAGATGTTAACAATCCCCTATAATAACAGCAACATAAAACTGAGTAGTCATTAATTTCTTTTTAATGAAATATTATATGCAAATAATGTAATGCTTCAAGTTCATTTAGAAATATTTCCAGAATACGTTGGTATAAAAACTATATAAAAACTAAAAGAGAAACAGTGTACCTACCTTCATCATAAGGCAGTGGTAAATGTTTTATTACCTCTGGTGTCCACCAGTAAGTGTAACTATAAAATTAAAAAAAAAAAATTAAAGAATAAGGTGAACCAATTGTAAATACTGGTTTTCTACAATTCATTGGATAAAAGGGGTGGAAGGTCTATAGTAAGATGCTGCCTCCTACTTTAAGGTTAGTTTTTTTTTTTTTTTCTTTTTAAAACATGTTTGTAAAGCTTGGGGCATAGTAGGTCTCCAACATGGCTACTACTTTCCCAAACTTCTTATTTCAGCTATGTCATTGATGTACAAAAATTCCATGAACACATCTGAGAGTCAAGTGCTCTGATGTTACTTAATTACTGTTAGCTAAAAACGATTTGGGTATACCAAGCCAGACTCTCAGAGCTGCTGTTTACTTCTCCCCAGATTGTTGCCCGCATTACTCTGCAAGCCAGCGAGCAGCAGGACCTTGACCCAAGTTCTACAGCCAAGACTCTTACACATGGTTATCTGAGAATTAGATTACTTCTTCCACTCTGCTCTGCATGTATGGGTCTGTGTATAGTTAATTGCAATAGTTAACCAAAATCATTAAGTGAATGGACAGTCCTGAAGAACAAGTTCCCTTAGAAAACAGTATAGGCCCTGTTAATCTTTAACTATAAATATTCACTACTTGATTACAGAGGCCAGTTAGAGGAAGGTAGGGAATTTCAATCATCTGGATTTCTGCCAGAAGACTCATCTACTGTGAGCAGAGAATCTGAAAACAACAACAACAACAAAACCCTGAACTGCCCTCTCTCTGAACATTGGATATGTTCTGATAATCAAATTCTGATAAATTGGGTCTTCAGGGGGAAAATGCTATATCAAAGTTCATGAGCACTAGGAAGGAGAGTAATGTGAAACAGTATATCAAAATATATTAAAAACACAGATTTTCAAAACATTTATTAAAAAAAAGCCTATGACAAAAAATGCTAAGAAGATAATTTTATTTTATTTTTTCTTAAAAAAATTTTTTAAATGTTTATTTATTTTTGAGACAGAGAGAGACAGAGCATGAACGGGGGAGGGGCAGAGAGAGAGAGGGAGACACAGGATCCGAAGCAGGCTCCAGGCTCTGAGTCATCACCCCAGAGCCCGACACGGGGCTCGAACTCACAGACCACGAGATCGTGACCTGAGCTGAAGTCGGACGCTTAACCGACTGAGCCACCCAGGCGCCCCTAAAAAGATAATTTTAAATAAATGAAAGCTTTCTAAAAATAAAATGCTGACATTATAATCGTGAATAATCCCAATTATGAAGAATAGGGGTATTTAAATGAAATAGGCAACAGAGAGAACTTTCCTAGAGATGGCAAGCAGAATATATAACCAAGGATAATGGGAAAAAGGAACATAATGCCTAATGAACTGGGGGGGGGGTGCAGAAAGTGAGATGATAACAGGAAAGGCTCTTCAAGTTTTGCTTGAGACTGAAGTTATGCTTTAGAATAGTGCTTCTCAAAATTCAGAGCATACAAAAACAGACACACAGACCAATGGAATAGAAAAGAGAACCCAGAACTGGACCCACAAATACAAGACCAACTAATCTTTGACAAAGCAGGAAAGAGTATCCAGTGGAAAATAGACAATCTCTTTAGCAAATAGGACTGGGAGAACTGGACAGCAACATGCAGAAGAATGAAACTAGACCACTTTCTTACACCATACACAAAAATAAACTCAAAATGGATGAAGGGACCTGAATGTGAGACAGGAAATCACCAAAATTCTACGGGAGAAAGCAGGCAACAACTTCTCTGACCTAAGTCACAGCAATTTCTTACTTGACACATCTCCAAAGGCAAGAGAATTAAAAGCAAAAATGAAGTATTGGGATCTCATCAAGATAAAAAGCTTCTGCACTGCAAAGGAGACAATCAACAAAACTAAAAGGCAACCAATGGAATGGGAAGAGATATTTGCAAATGACATATCAGATAAAGAACTCACCAAACTCCACACCCGAAAAACAAATAATCCACTGAAGAAATGGGCAGAAGACATGAATAGATACTTTTCTAAAGAAGACATCCAGATGGCCAACAGACACACGAAAAGATGCTCAATGTCAATCCTCATCAGGGAAATACAAATCAAAGCCACAATGAGATACCACCTCACACCAGTCAGAGTGGCTAAAATGAACAAATCAGGAGACTACAGATACTGGCGAGAATGTGGAGAAACAGGAACCCTCTTGCACTGTGGGAATGCGAACTGGTGCAGCTCCTCAGGAAAACAGTGTGGAGATTCCTCAAAAACTTAAAAATAGAACTACCCTATGACCCAACAATAGCACTGCTAGGAATTTACCGAGGGGATACAGGAGTGCTGATGAACAGGGGCACATGTATCCCAATGTTTATAGCAGCGCTTTCAACAATAGCCAAATTATGGAAAGAGCCTAAATGTCCATCAATTGATGAATGGATAAAGAAGATGTAGTTTATATATACAATGGAATACTACTTGGCAATGAGAAAGAATGGAATCCTGCCATTTGCAGCAACGTGGATGGAACTGGAGGGTATTATGCTAAGTGAAATAAGCCAGGCAGAGAAAGACAGATACCATATGTTTTCACTCATATGCAGATCCTGAGACACTTAACAGAAGACCATGGGGGAGTGGAAGGGGAAAAAAAAAAGTTACAGAGAGGGAGGGAGGCGAACCATAACAGACTCTTAAATACAGAGAACAAACTGAGGGTTCATGGGGGGTGGGCAAAGAGGAGAAAGTGGATGATGGGCATTGAGGAGGGCACTTGTTGGGATGAGCACTGGGTGTTGTATGGAAGCCAATTTGATAATAAATTATATTAAAAAAACAAAAATAAAAAGCAAAAAAAAAAATCAGTGCACACACGAACACTTAAGGAGATTCTGTTAAAAGACAGATTCTGATTCAGTAGGCAGTGCCTGAGATTCTGCATTGATGACGAGTTCCCAGTGATTCCAGAGGGGGTGGTCCTCAGGCTGCTTTTTGAACAGCAAGGTTTTTGAACATGAAAAGAACAAAAAAGAGTTATGCCTGCTGCTTGCAGATAATTCACATTTATTTTCAACATTTAGTAAGCACCTACTGTGTCAAACACCATTCTGTGTCTTAGAAATGCCACGTTGAAAATAATGACAGAGAAAAGTAAAGCTACTTAATTCCAGCACTGTTTCTATCTTCAACAGACATGGTAAGTTTCATGCTGGAAAGAGAAAAACGAGAGAAGAGAGAAGCATGTATAGCCCAAGAGACGGAAGGAAGCAGTGCAGCATCTCTTAAGAGCATTCAAGTGTCCTGGTCTATAGATGGGATCAATAATCTTTTCAAGAAGAGTGAAGAACGGAACTTATACTAAAAATGAGCAAATGTAGTCTTGATGCTCAAAATGAGAGGGTAATAGATTACAAAAACTATACATCAAAGAATGTGATGTCAATTTCAGCAAGATAACAGAATCAAGTATTAAACAGAGATGTGAATAACCTAAAAGGATAAAAGGATAACTTCTATCCTTAGACTCCACATCCAAACCACACCAATCTAATCTCATTTTCTTTTCTTTTCTCATAGGAGAATCAGACTATCAGATCAGAAGAATGAGAAAGCATGGAATAATTAAGGTGTGTGTGTGCACACGCATGCATGCACATGCATGTGTACACAGGTGTAAATTCCATTTTGTAATCACTTAATCTTCACAGAGGAGGAAAATAAAGAAGGTATCAGCTAGTATATAAGAAATTGCCTAAAGAATGATGCTCACAATTAGCTTATCTAAGATAAAGCAGTAAACATTATAAAGAATATGTTTAAACTCAGAACATACCACGTGGAGGAAAAGAATTATGAGACAGTCCTGTTTTAGCAACTTGAAACAGGCCATAGATTTTTTTCTGAATATTATTAAACTGTAATTCCCTAAGCAAGATAAAAATAACTTAATACTTTTGAAAAGTATTTTGGATTTTGAAAAGTCCAGTTCCTCTAGGTAGGTCTCAGCACAGAAGCCCATGAGAAACACCTGCCCAGGGAAGAAGAGCTGACACAAATGGAAGATGAGAGCATCTGAGAGGACTCAGCCCAGGACAGGGAGGATCTCTGTTACCTCCACCTCCAAGTACATTTACTCAGAGGAAGAGTCCTGCAGCAAGGTAGAACCTGCTTTGGGACCAGGGATCAGAAGACAGGAGACTGCAAGTTGGTGCCACTTCTTCCTTTGCATAAAATACCTAATATGCCAGTTGCTCTGCTCTTTTTCAGTCCCTAGAATTGAGTACTCAATTCCACAGGCTCACATAGGAAGGTGAGGGGGACTAAAAAAAGACTCTTTTTTAATTCCCCTAGCTAACTTGGGAGCTCTCTGAATTAATATATATATATATATGGACTTCAGCAAAGCAATCAATCTTTGTGAACAAAATAGAGAAATGTGGGCAGGAGGACAGTACAGTTAAATGATGACAACAGATTAAGTTACAGCCATTTAAATAAGTCCTACCAAAAATCAGGTTAAGGTAGAAGGAGTTGTCTGGTGGTGCCCATACAGCTCTGCCATCTACCTTATTCTACTCAACATTTTTCATCAAGTATTTTTATCAGGATCAAGATGGCCAGCTGATTAAATCTGAAGAAGCTACAAAGCTACAGGTAATACTTAATAAAAAGGATACACGTTTAACCCCCCTTTTTGGAAGCAGGCAAAGCACAGAAGACCAAGAATGCTCAAATGAGCATACAAGAATGGTACAGATAAGGCACGGTATCAGGACATGTTAAAGACACTTGGGAGTTCTAACAGACAGGAAGCTCAGAGAATCAACATTATGATGGCATTGCTGAAAACAGCTAATGCAATCTTAGACTTGATAATAAACAGAGTATCCAAGACAAGAGAAGCAATGGCTCCAATGGTCCCACAATATTTGGCACAAATCAGATCAAACTCTGACCATTACTGAACCCAGGTTTGGGTACCACAATTTAAAAAGAATATTGGGGCGCCTGGGTGGCTCAGTCGGTTGAGCGTCCGACTTCGGCTCAGGTCATGATCTCACAGTCTGTGAGTTCAAGCCGTGCGTCGGGCTCTGTGCTGACAGCTCAGAGCCTGGAGCCTGCTTCAGATTCTGTGTCTCCCTCTCTCTCTGCCCCTCTCCTGCTCATGCTCTGTCTCTCTCTGCCTCAAAAATAAATAAAAACATTAAAAAAAATAAAAAGAAAAAGAATATTGATGCTGACTGGAATCCATAAGAAGAGAGCATTCTGAATCCCAAAGAGGCTTAAAACCCAGTATGTGAGGAGCAGCGGAAGACAATGGGGTTATTTAACCTGGAGAAGAAGAGATATTGAGATGGTGTGAACTTCAGGTTTTTAAAAGACTATAAAGTGGATAGAGAAATCGTGTTCTTAAGGTCTCAGGGGGCTGAACTAGATTAGTAGGTAAAGTTACAGAGAAGCAGATCTCAGCATGATAGGAGAAAAAATTGTGAACTGTCTGAAAAGAACTGCCCCCTCAACCAGACACATCCCAGATAACAAACCAGGACTAGTCAAGCACAGGCCAGATGACCTCTCCTGGGAAGACACCAAGGGAGCTCACATATCAGACAGTGACTAGAGCCGGGCAATCTCTCAACTCTGAGTCAATGAAGTGATTAATGTTTAATATCTAAAAACATCTTGGTGACATGATAAACACTGATTCAATAAATAACATCTTAGATGATATATCTCCTATTAACCTAATGCAGAACAAAGCTTCATTTAGTGGTTGTAGGCAGATCAATGAAAGTGAGCCCTTTGAATAACAGAAGTAGTTACCTCAAGAGAACCTGGTTTGGATGAACTCTAGTCAGAGCTAGGTTTATTTTCCCTTCCCTTATCATTCAATAAAAATATATCAGAATAATTCATTGGTAAACACAGTGTAAAATATAGGATACTCACCAAGTTTGGAAACACAAGCAAATACATATAAAGTGTTTATTGATATTATAAGTGATAAAATATTATTATCTAAGTTTCCAGATTTTATGGTCATCCTGTATGATTTTTAGTAAATGTTACAACTAGGGAATGTAATCTCCTTTAAAGAACAGTAACAGTACTAACACCTATTTGATTTATGTGCTAAGCATTTATATTACTTCATCTGATGCTCAGAAACATGTACAAGTTAGGATAGTGCTATTATCTCTATTTCACTCATAATGGCAATGGAGTCTTAGACCGGTTATGTAACTTGCCCACAATCACAGGTTTTAACTGGAGGCCATCTCTCCAGAGCCTGACAGCTTCAGAATCGTGTTTATTCTGTGTCAGACCTAGTACCAAAGAGTTCTCACACATCGAACCCTCAGAATGACCCTGTGAGTTGTGCATGGTCACCTCCATTTGACAGATGAGCAGAAAGGGTTTCCAGAGTTTAAGGAAGAGGCCTAAGGTCGCACATTTGCAGAAATTCTAAATTGGCCCCACCCGACCCTGAAGTCCACACTCTCACCCAGTTGACTGCTTCAGGCTAAACTGTTCCTTTTATCTGAGAGTTATGATACTGACTTAACTGTCACCAAAATAACCAGTATAGGTGGATGACAACAGAAAGTCCAAAATAAAACAGTGAAATTTACCTTACACACTTTGTAAGTACTGTTTTTGAGCAGTATTTACTGTTGACAACATTACCTGATTTTTGGAATTTTGACATTCTGGAGGAAAAAAAACCCAACAACACAAAAACAGGAGACCAAACCAATGGAGAGAGGCATGTTATCTACTGTGATAAAACTTTATTTTCAGTGGCAGGCTTGCAGATGATTCTTGCTGAATCATCTAACTAGCTAAATATCTCAGTCAAGACACATTTCTCTCCATTCTCTCTGCAACCTCAGTTTCCTTTTTTTTTTTTTAAATAGAAAATGGGGATATAACAGCAGCTTCCTTTGTTGCCATAAATAAGCTCCACCACTGTCTGTCTTAGTGATCAGTTATGTAACTTGAGGTGAGCAAGTCGTTTAAGGTACACTTGTTATACACTAGCTAATTTCTGCAGCAGAAAATTGAGTGTTGGTTGTTCCCAAGTTGTATGTTAATCGCTTTAATACTGGAGGGGCCCTGGGTGGCTCAGTCAGCGGTAAGCATCTGACTTTGGCTCAGGCCATGATCTCTCGGGTTTGTGGGTTCAAGCCCTCGGTCGGGCTATGCACTGATAGCTGGGAGCCTGGAGCCTGCTTCAGATTCTGTGACTTCCTCCCTGTCTGTCACCCTCTTGTGCTCCCTCTCTCTCAAAAATAAATAAATATTTTTTAAAAAGAGCTTTAATACTTGGGGTGCCTGGTGGCTCAGTTGGTTAAGCGTCAGACTTCGGCTCAGATCATGATCTCAGATCAAACTCTTTGGAGTTTGAGCCCCGCATTGGGCTCTGTGCTAACAGCTTGGAGCCTGGAGCCTGCTTCAGATTCTGTTTCTCCCTCTCTCTCTCCCCCTCCCTGTGCTCGTGCTCTGTCTCTCTCTCTCTCTCAAAACTAAATACATTTAAAAAATTTTTTAAAAAAGCTTTAATACTTGAAGGTAACATAAAATTCGGAAAATCACCCACATATACCCATAGTGAATTGTGTCACCAAAGCTAAATACAGGTATTTACATTCATCTCTCACCAAATCAACACAATTAGTTCCAAATTTTTTGTTTATCAGCAAAAATTCAGAGGCAATCATTTATTAATAGTAAATTTAATGCTTCATTTATTGGGAAAGTAAGCTCAAATAATACGTTGGTTATTCCACTAATATGCACTTACAGGAACAAATCTGACAAACAGAAATTCTGACACATCCCTAATATTTTAAACATTCCTGAAGCAACACAGAATTTGATAATAACTGCAACATCAGCACTTGCTAATTCACCAGTTGTTTGTGGTCTGGTCACACAGACAGATTGGCAATGACCCCTGTAGTGTGTGGGAGGCACTGTTGCACAAAGTAAGAGTTATATCGAACCGATGCTGTAAGAGAAAGGCATGATGAGAGAACTTGATATTGTAGGCCCTTGAGCAGAATGCTCCAGTCTCCAACCTCATATGTATGAATTGTCTTGCTCATGTGGCAAAATGGACTATATTAGTACATGACGCCTCAATCACAACCACTAAACAGTCTTCTCATTAAACCCTCACAATGACTCTGTGAGGTATGCCCCATCATTTACATTTGCAGATGAGGAAAATGAGACTGGGAGAAGTTAAATAACTAATCGTAGGTCACATGATGACAGAGAGTCAACCTGACCCTGAGGCCACACCACACAGTGTCCTATCAAAACACATCAGGTAAACACTTCATTTCTTTTGAGAATATTAGTATCAATTTAACTGTCATCAAAATAATCCCAAATGGCTAATGAATCTAGAAAGCCCTGAGTAAAAGGGGTGATGAGAGTAGTATCTGTCACTAGAGTCACTATTCTGGTTTCCTGTCTTCACCAGAGTCACCCAAGAGCTGGTTATGCTTCCTGAAGGGAAGAGCACTGGAACATTCGAACTCTGGAATTCCAAAGTGATGTTCACTTGAAAACCAAAGATTGACTCCCTACATGTGAGGGTTCTTCAGAGTTCCCCATCTATAGGAAGCACTCGGAAATAATGTTGATGGTTTGCTTTAGTGGAGCTACAACTTACATTCAATGATGAAGTTCTGAAACTTTCTTTCTATCTTACGAAAAATGCAAACCACCAATTATTAATGACAAGTTCCCAAAGCTACCATCAAGACACCAACAATACTGAATTCCTCATGGCAAACATGTAGTAAGACTGACTACTTTAGCCTCTGTGATTATTTCTCAAAAATGAAAGTATCTTATATTCAAAGTAACATCAAATCTGAGTTTACATAAAATACTAGGACAAAAAATACCTTCTTCTTGTTGGTAAAAGTCTCATCGTATTTTTATGATGCAAGTAAAAATCTGTTGGGAGTTCCCAGAGATGAGGTTTCCCTTCAGTGGGATGAAAAACTCCCAGGAAGAGATTAATGGAATCTTGTCTATCAGCATCTAAAAAGCAAAAATAGGCATTTCAGGAAATCCGCTACTGAGATATACAACTCAGGAGAATGTTTTCTCAGGAGGATAAAGGGTACAACTGTGATTTCATAACACATACCTTTGAAAACAACAGTATTTATACTCCAAAAGTCATACACATACCCCAAATCTAAAATAGTCACCAAGATTTTGAGCAGAATTAAAACCTTGCTTCAAAATGCTTCATGTTTGTTCCATCCCTTTCACAATATGGAGGAGACGGAACACAAACTGCTTCTTGAATTTTGAGAGACTCTTAAAAATCTTTAAGAACCGCCATAATACCAAAGTGATTTTATTTTTAGGATAAGAGCATAGTTTTGCTATTCGTTATTCTACCTGAAACAAATACATCTTCATTTTATTACAAAGACAAGGAGACATGTCAGAAACAAACACGATGGCTCAACTCCTATCCATATTCTGTTGCACAACTTTGAACAAGTTAGTTTGCACAGTTTCCACTTTTAATCCTTGAAAAGGTATCTACTCTTTCTTTAGTACCAACAACGTTTACAACATCTTCTGTCCCCCTCAGTTGTGGGCCTGGCCCATTCCCTCCTGTGTCTGATAATGACGGCAGAGTGGGCACATAGATAACAGCCTCATTCTAACTATTCAACCACCCCCAAATTACTAACTTATGTATGCATATATATTGTGTTTCCTTCCTTTCCTAATTATATTTTGGTAAAAATGATGATAAGCATGAAAGGGTCTCATGAAGCACCCTTCCCATTCGGCACTGGCGTCCTACATTCTTTCCCCTCATTTCCTTCTTTCCATTCTTGTCTCGGAGCCCTGTATATTCAAGTTTGGGGCAGGCAGCCACAATATAAATAATAACCTCTTTCTGAAAATGAGCACAGAACTAAAGACAGCCCAGCAGCAAGGGCTGCTTTTGAAACAAGATAACATTACCATAAAATCAATCTTCCAACAGCTACAGTGAACACAGATATTTCTGAAATTAGCAACACTGTTCTCATGGACTATTTGGTCATTTCGGCAAAAGCAATAAATGAAATATGGTACATCAAACATGTATTCCCGTTACTAGTATTTTGACAGGAAGTGTTCCATTAAAGCAGCATTTACCTTTCAGGCCAAAAGTAATATATAAAAGGGATGTGTTCATATGCTGAATATACTTGGAGACTTTTTGCCACTTTTGAGAGAAAACAAGTATTAAATGATGCAGACATTACCGCCCCAATTTGCACCCTCTTTACACAGTACAAAAGTAAACAAGCTGCTTTTATGTAATTACATTCTTTATGCTTCTTGCATAGCCTTGATGGCACTTAATAACTCATACTATGCAGGACCTCAAAATATCTTAATACTATCTAGAGAAGCTTTCCATTTTTCAGCTGCGTTTTCAAGGAGTCTTTCATTTTTTAAACTGGATAGTTGCTTCCTTTAATTTTTAGCAAGTATGATAAAATGTGAGATGTGAGAAACATAACCAAATAAAAGATATGTCTTCAAAGGACCATAATGAAGACTTGTTGAATGTGCTGCTGTTGCTATAACTTAAAATATATCCATGGTGTACATGGTCCCTAAGGACTCCAAGGCCGGTTTAATGAGCCTGAGGTTCTTTTCCTGCCTACTTTTGACTGCAAATAAGACAATCACCCTCAGGAAGACAGTAATACTTTGGATATGGATAAGGGCTTAAAACAGGTAGGTTCTCTGTAGTTGTAGATAACAAGAGGACAATGATTACCTATTTTTGTACTCAATCATGCTTTAAAGGAAAAAAGAGTAATACCCCATTCAAACTCCACTCAAACAGCTAAACACTAACCAGTTTATTATGTATGTATGAAACGGATGAGGCTTGACTATAACAATCCTTTTTAATTATTTTTAATTAGAGAAAAATTATTTTGGAACTAGAATATTATTATGCTAATACTAAATTAAGTTTGTAATGAAGTAGCCTCTGAAATCAGTAATGGAAAGGAATGTTATTCAATAAATAGCACTGTTTAATTATTGCAGGGGAGGGGACAATAAAATTAGATCCCTACTTCATACTATTTATTGAAATAAATACCAATTAAATGTGAGAAAGACAGAGATCAACACTGGAATAGAAAAAGAGAAACACGCAATTTTCGAAAGAAACAGAAATGGACAATGAACATACTAACATTCAACTTTACTAGTTATCCAACAAATGTTAATTAAAACAATATACGATTTCTTACCTATTTAAGGTGGCAAATAGTTATCAAAATGGGCACTCCCATACTCTGCTGAGGGAACATTAACTGCTTGATGGTATCCATTCTCTAAGGCAATTTGGCAACACAGATATTCCTTGCTTTCTGAAAGTTTGCATTATGCCTCTTGACTTAGGAAAGACCTACATTAGTGCCTGTTAATGCTAACAGAAAAATCTGAAGAGGATTTTAACTTTTATGAAAATAGCTGTTACTGTACTAATGTAGGACTTTCCTAAAAGCAAAGTGGTGTAACTCAGACTTCTGGAAAGTGGGGGATACTCTTCACTTTATGCCATTTCAGCTTACCAAAGTTTTCACAGGAACATTCTACTTTCCCTGAAATATCTATAGTCTCTGACCTGATATGCTTCTGGAACTTTCCTAACATCAAAAATATGGCAAAAAAGAGTGTATGTTTAAAAGGAAACTAAATGCAAAGTAATAGCAACTAAGTTACGATGTTTCTAAATGATAGACTGCCATAGGCTGCTAAAAATCATGTTGTAGAAGAATATTTAAGGTCATAAAGATTATTCACATTATCTAAAAGGGCAAATGCAGAATATAAATATTACATGTATGGAAGAGTCATGTTCTCCTAAATATGAACAAGTGGCTATCTTTGGAAGGTAAAGATTATATGATTTTATTGTGAGCTATTCTGTACTTTCTATAATTACTTTCATAATTAAAAAAAAAGAACTACCATTCATTCACTCATCCAAGAACCTATATGTTCCACACTGGGGAAACAGTAATATATAATACTTACTCTGGCTCCAGGTGGGGTTCACATTCCAATTGGCAAATAAAAATATACACAAGTAAATAATGTATAAGGTACATTCAAGGGATGTAAGTTCTATGAAGACACTGAAAGAGAGCAATATGGGAGCGAAGGGAGGGGACAGAGCCACTTAGATTGGGTAGTCAGGGCAGGGGTAGAGGCTGAAATGTCTGAGGAAGTAACATTTGAACTGTAAAAATGAGAAAGAGGTGGTCACACAAAGCTCTGGGGGCTTTGTGCTCAAGCAGAACAAACAGACACAAAGGCCTGCTGGGGTAACAAACTGGGCAGCTCCGGGAATAAAGAGAAAGCCAGAGAGGGTGGAGGGCAGTGGACCAGGGAAACAGCCAAATTAGAGACAAAAGGCACCAGGTCACACAGGCCTCGTAGGTTACAGTAGAGAGTTTTATTTTATTTTAAAGAGGGAAGTGATACTGTCTGACTTCAGTTTTGAAAAGATCCCTCTGGCTGCTATTTACAGCAGGGGCAGAAGCAGGGAGGCAGGAGGTGGATCAGGAGCTGAAACAGTTGTTCAGACTGCTTGCACCAGCATGGCAGCAGTCAGGATGAAACACAGCAGAAGGATTTACAATATATTCTGGAGGTTGAGATGAGAGTTGCCTAGAGATGGGGCCAGGGTGGAGGGGAGGGGGAGATAAGTGAGGAAAATAAAAGGAATCGGGGATGATTCCTAGGTTTCTGAACTGAGCAATGGGTGCTGAAGTGGAAAAACCAAGTGGAGAAACACATTTGAGTCAGTCTCAAAAATGATCACTTGAGATTCTTACTGGATACCTGTGGTAGTTAGTGCATTTTGTATGGAACTAAATTTTGTATGGAACTACAAAAGACTCCAAATAGCCAAAGTAATGTTGAAAAAGAAAACCAAAATGGGAGGCATCACAATTCTGGACTTTAAGCTGTATTACAAAGCTGTAATCATCAAGACAGTTTTGGTACTGGCACAAAAACACATACATTGATCAATGTAACAGAATACAGAACCCAGAAATGGACCCACAAACACATGGTTAACTAATTTTCAACAAAGCAGGAAAGAATCTACAATGGAAAAAAAACAGTCTTTTCAGCAAATGGTGCTGGGAAAACTGGACAGCGACATGCAAAAGAATGAAACTGGACCACTTTCTTACAACATACACAAAAATAAATTCAAAATGGATGAAAGACCTAAACATAAGACAGGAAACCATCAAACTCCTAGAGGAGAACATTCGCAGCAAACTCTTTGACCTTGGCCACACCAGCTTCTCACAAGACACATCACCAGAGGCAAGGTACACCAAAGCAAAAATGAACTATTAGGACTTCCTCAAGATAAAAAGCTCTGCACAGCAAAGGAAACAATCAACAAAACTAAAAGGCAACCAACAGAATGGGAGAAGATATTTGCAAATGACGTATGGATAAAGGGCTAGTCTCCAAAATCTATAAAGAACTTATCAAACTCCACACCCGAAAAACAAATAATCCCATGAAGAAATGGGCAGAAGACATGAAAAGACACTTTTCCAAAGAAGACATCCAGAGGGCCAACAGACACATGAAAAGATGCTCAACATCACTCATCATCCGGGAAATACAAATCAAAACCATGATGAGAGTCCACCTGACACCTATCAGAATGGCTAAAATGAACAACACAAGAAACAACAGGTATTAGGGAGGATGTGGAGAAAGGGAAACCTTCTTGTACTGTTGATGGGAATGTACACTGGTGCAGCTACTCGAGAGAATAGTATGGGGATTCCTCAAAAAATTAAAAGTAGAACTACCTTATGACCCAGCAATTGCACTATTAGTTATTTACCCACAGGATAAAAATACATATTCAAAGGGGCACGTGCACCCCAATGTTTATATTTATAGCAGCGTTATCAACAATAGCCAAACTATGGAGAGAACACAAATGTCTATCAACTGAT